GTGACTCACCCTGAAGCTGTGGCCTTCTTTATGTCAGGCTGCTGCTTGCCTTTCGGGAGCCACCACAGCGCCCCTCCATGTTCTGGCTTTTACTCCCTCACCGGGGACCAGTGTGCTCTGTTGTCTCTCAACTAACCATCCAGAGACTTGGTAGAGTTTGTGTGCTTGAGCGGGTCAAGAGGGGGTGAGTTTGGACTGATGTGTGGGCTCATTGTGAAATCAGACTGGTCTATAATCATACAGTGTGTTTAGAGCTGAGCTATTAGCTATTAGCAATGTATCTGTTAAATTGTCCACCTGCTGCTCATGGTCCAACTGTAATGTGAAAAAGCATATAGTTTATGATCAGTCTCCAAATTCCTATTTTGGAGAGTAAGCTAATGACTGAAATAATCTTGCTCCAATTTTATAGGTCACATCTAATACACATACTCAACTACCTATCTTGTCACCTGTTGCCCACATTGTAAATGTAGATTATGTATTCTTCTCACAGTGAAAAGCCAGATGTGTTATCCCAGAAGCTGGGGCTGGAGGCGGAGAGATCATCCACTGAGGACCAGATGAGAATGAAATGGGAAAGCCTCCATCAGGAATTCAGTACCAAGCAGAAGCTGCTACAGAATGTTCTGGAACAGGAACAAGAGCAAGTGGTATCAAGCCTTCTGCTTTTATATGTTTATTAATATGAAAGGTGGACAGTGTCTGCTGAGGAAATATAATGATGTCATAATCTTTACTTCAATTATCAATTCCATAATAAGATACGAAAATCAAATTATTTGTTCAACATTTTTCTTCACAGTATCCTAAAACTACGTATATTTACATGAGAAAATGTATTTGATATCTAGATACTATTTTTCCTCAAATATAATGAGTATCTGATTCCTTCTTAGCATAGCCCATTCAATTTTAAATTTCTCCCTTTTTTTCCACAACCTTGAAAATTATGAATGTCCTAGAACCATCTAGGACAAAAGTTATTTGCCAGTTCCGGAAATAAATTGTTAGGTCATCTTATTTTCCATTATTATTTCTGATATTTAATGATTTCAAAAGATCTTAATAAGAAATGCATTGGGACATTGGTCAATGTGTGGTGAAGAAGAAGTTAGATTGGTTACTGATCCATCTGTGGGACTTGTTCTCAGGAGGGATACTGTTGGTGCTGGGACTGGTTCCAGCAAGCCTGGCAAATCCAATGGCTCTGAATATAGTGACAGAAGGATATAAGTAGGTAATACCAAAAACAAAATAAACAAACAAAAACCCACTGTCATCAAGTTCATTCTGACTCATAGCAACCCCCATAGGATTTCCAAGGCTCTGAATCTTTACAAAAGCAGACTGCCTCATCTTTCTCCTGCAGAGTGGCTGGTGGGTTTGAACCACCAACCTTCCAGTTAGCAGCTAGATGCTTTAACCACTATACCACCAGAGCTCCTTTATAGGTAAAACCAAAAAAACAAAGCTCACTGCCGTCAAGTCTTACCCAATTCATAGGTAGGTGACAGGTATTCATTTACTCCCAGCAGAAGCAGGACAGTGGTGGTTCACTGGCAGAATCCGTGTCTTCTGAGTAGGAGGCCCTGGTTTAGTTCCCAGCAGGTGCACCTTGTGCCTCGCCCCATCGTCTGCCCGTGGTGGTCTGTGTTCCTGTTATGCTGAGCAGGTTTCAGTGCAGCTCCAGACTAAGACCCTGGGAAGAAAGGCCTGAGGAGTCAGCCACTGAAAACGTCTGCATCCAATGGTTTGACCTGCAACTGCTCCTGGAGATGGTACAGAGGACCAGGCAGCAATTTTTTTTTTTTTTTTACTGTGCGTGGGATCAGCATGAGTTCGGGCTGATTCTGTGACAGCTAACCAGCTCACAGCAACAACAAGCCAGGGCACTAGGCTCCTTTAGAGAGCTACTTAGTGAGCCAAGCACCCCCACGAGTCTGGGGTCCAACAGCATCCTGAAACTAGAAGGCTTGCCCGTGTCCTGGGCCAGCATTGCTCATCCAGGTCAGAGGTCTTATCGGGGTGAATTCTAGAATCGTGGCTGTTACTCGATGGAAGCTGCTGGCTTCACTTCTCTGGCTAGGACCAGCTCAGGGCCCGGGAAAGGATGAACTTGGCAAAGCAGCCATTATAAAAGCAGACACACCACTGGGGTACAAAGTCGAAATTTCCAGGATTAGCTAGAAGAAGATGGCTTAGATGTCATAATGTGACCCCTTGTCTATGAGGACCTGTGACCACATCACTGCAGAGCCATGCCTTTTGTTCTGGTTCCCTAGTGCTGCTCTGACAGAAATATAGCACATATGGGATGGCTTTAACAAAAAGGAGTTTATTCTCTCACAGTTTGGAGGGTTTAAGTCCAAGTTCAAAGTGCCAGGCTCTAGGGGCTGGGTGAAAGCCCCTCAACCTTGGGGTCCAGCTCTGCCTCCTGCTCCCGGCCCACTGGAGCTAGAGGCGTTTCTTCACTCAGACAGCTGCTGGCTGCTGAGGCTGAGAAGCCCCAGGGTTGACAACTAAAAAGGAACAGTCCTGATGTTACCAAACCACACAGCAGGCCATTAACTTAAGTCCATTGTAAGCCCCAAGGTCGGCGGAGCCTATCAGGCTGCTGAGCAATGGCACGGTTACATGCAGGGTCCAAGCGTGCCATAGGCTAGAGACCATTCCCAAGGCTTCTCCTTATATACAGGAAGCAGACCACATCCCTAAAGCAGCTACTCAGCTGCTTGTGGTACTTCCCACCATGGAGTTGATTGACAATCTCATCATGGGGAATAATTACCACCAGCTGCCCAGCCACTCAACCAGGCCCAGCCAAATTGACACACAAACATAACTCCCACACCCTTCCAACCTGTTTTACGGAGTCACAGGGCAGGTCACACTTACTGCCCCCTGGCTCCCTTACTGTGACCTAGAAGCTTCTTGCTGTGGTCTGCAAGAGTAGTCGCCAGATCTGGCCCCTCAGTCCTGGAGGCAGCTGTCTAGAATCTGCCCTGGCAGTGGGGTCCTGTGGCTCTTGCCTGGACCCCATACCTGTGTTGAATTAGTCCTTCCTCGTACTCCTGTTCATACACCCCTCAGACGTCTGGCTTGGATTCTTGATTTTTGATGTAGATTTTCTAGACTTGACTGCCAGCATATCTTCTCATAGCATTTCTCCACTGCCTTGAAGATATAGGGAGTTGATAGCACTAAGTCAAGGACCGCCTACCCCCCAACCAGCTCCTGTCAAGTCGATGCTGACTCATGATGACCCCATGTGTGTCAGAGCTGAACTGAGCTCCATAGATTTTCAGTTGCTGATTTTTCAGAGCTAGATTGCCAGGCCTTTCTTCCAAGGCACCTCTGGGTGGACTCAAACCTTCAGCCTTTTGCATAGCAATTGAGCACATCTGAAGGCAGCCTATGTATATGATATTATGGAATGCTTTTTATTTGGCAATATTTCTTTCTTTTTTTTCAATTGTGATTTGGGTGAAAATTTACAGAGGAAATTCACTTTCCATACAGCAGTTCACATATACTTTGTCTCATGACATTGACCACAATTTACCCCAATGCAACAGCTCCGCTCCTACTTCCTCCCAATAGTTACCTCTTCCCTGTGTCCATCCCTCCATGCACTCCTGTCCCCAGAACTGTCTCCCTGTGCATAAGCAGCCCTTCTTTCTCCCATGATTGTTATCTTCAAGGAGTGTATCTACCTCAGGTAAATGTTCAACTCATATGCCTGTCTATTGTTTGGCTTGAAGCCACAGGCATGGGTTCAATTCCAGACCTGAAGGGCAGCTAGGGGCCATAGTCTCAGTGGTTCCACCAAGCTCTATTGGACCTGCAAACCTAGTCCCCCCTTTTTTTTTCTCCAAATGATTTTGAGTTTTGTTCCACGTTGTTCTCCCTCTCTATCCAGGATCTCCTACATAGATCCCCTTCCAAGTGGTTGACAGTAGTAGCCAGGCACCATCTAGTTCTTCTGGTCTCACAG